CTACAAAGGAGAGTGAAATTATTTATCAGCGGGTAAGATGGCTTTGTTCATCTGAGTTGGGAATTGAGTTCTGTGGGAGATTGGGTACCGCATGATTGTTGTGGTAACGGTATTAACATCTACAGGAAAGGGTTTTCGACATTGATTATGTTTTTTGTTTTTCATTTTATGTCGATAGAAATTTAGAGAGCCAGAAAAAATATAAAAAAGAAGATATCTGTAAAAAAATATATATAGTTAAGAGTAATGGCAAATTATTAAGATTTGCAAAATCCAAGGTATGCTTTACTTTTATTCAAATGGAGGCAAATTCAACATACATAATTTCTGCCATGACATCTTAGACGATTTTTTGAATTCAACGATTTTTAAGGATAGTAATTTATACAGTTAACATTATGCAACGCAATTGCTTTGTAAAATAGAGTAGAGTACACAGCGAACATTGCTAATATCGACGTTTTCTTTCTTTTATTGATAAGAGAGTTTTTAGTAAATAATTCTCAAATAGATTAATTTAAAAGAAAATAAATATCATCAAGGTAATAAATATATCTTGATATTTACACGATACTTGAATATTTACATTAACTTCGTTTTCTCTGTCAAGTTCACAGAGGATTTATTTATGTTAATATATATATATATACATTGAAGTGACAAAAGTCATGGGATACCTCTTAATATCGTGTCGGCCCTCCTTTCGCCCGGCGAAGTGCAGCAACTCGACGTGGCATGGACTCAACAAGTCGTTGGAAGTCTTCTGCAGGAATATTGAGCCATGCTGTCTCGATAGACGTCCATAATTGTGAAAGCGTTGATGGTGCAGGTTTTGGGCACGAACAGACCTCTCGATGATGTCCCATAAATGCTCGATGGGATTCATGTCCGGGCGATCTAGGTGGCCAGATCATTCGTTGGAATTGTCCAGAATGTTCTTCAAACCAATCGCAAACAGTTGTGGCCCGGTGACCTGGCGCATTGTCATCCATAAATATCCCATCGTTGTTTGGGTACATGAAGTCCATGAATGGCTGCAAGTGATCTCCAAGTAGCTGAACATAAGTATTTCCAGTCAATGTTCGGTCCAGTCGCAACAGAGGACCAAGTCCATGTTATGAAAAACAGCCCACAACATTACGGAGCTACCACCAGCTTGAACAGGGCCTTGCTGACAGTTTGAGTCCATGGCTTCGTGGGGTCTGCGCCACACTCGAACCATACCATCAGCTCTTACCAACTGAAATAGTGATTCATCGGACCAGGCCACGGTTTTCCATTCATCTAGGGACCAACCGATATGCTCACGTGCCCACGAGAGTCGCTGCAAGCGACGTCGTTCTGTCAGTAAAGGCACTCGAGTCGGTCTTCTGCTGGAATAGCCCAAGAAAGCCAAATGTCTCCGCACAGTTCTAACAGACAAGTCCCTTGTACGTCCCACATTGATTTCTGCGGTTATTTGACGCAGTGTTGCTTGTCTTTTAGAATTTACGACTCTTTGCAGACGTCGCCGGTCTCGGTCGTTAAGTGCAGGCGGTCGACCACTGCGCTGTCCATGGTGGGATGTTATGCCTGAAATGTCATACTCTCGGCACACTCTTGACACGGTGGATCTGGGAATGTTGAATTCCCTAAAGATTTCCGAAATGGCATGACCCATGCGTCTAGCTCCAACTAACATTCCGCGTTCAAAGTCTGTTAATTCCCGTCGTGCGGTCATCATCACGTCAAAACCTCTTCACATGAATAACTTGAACAGAAATTAAAGCTCTGCGAAAGAACTGCGCATTTATACCTGTTCTACGCGATGCTACTGCCATCTGAAAATTTGCATATTGCTATCCCATGACTTTTGTTACTTCAGTGTGTATATATATATATATATCACTAGGCAATGCCATCTTGGATCGCCTGCAGGGGATGACTATTTTTATAATGGATGGTAGAAATTTGACATATCAAAGTTAATGAGGAAAAGCAATAATGCATATTGGGCAAGACAGTATTACTTTTCAAGTACAGTATTTACAGTACAGACAATTACTTTCCATATGTGTGTCGAAGAAGTGAGTGTAGTGAAATGATGTGTAGAGAAAAACTCTAAAAATTCAGTCAGGCAATTGAATGTTGACATAATCAATACCGAATGAAGACATAATCGATATGAATAATTCAATATAATGAAGACATAATAAATATGAATGAATCAATATAATGAAGGCATAGTCAATATGAGTGTATCAATATAATGAAGACATAATCAATACCGAATGAAGTCATAATAAATATGAATGAAAACATAATCAACATTAATGAAGACATAATCAATATGAATGAAGACATAAGCAATACCTAATCCAAGCAACTTCACAATCTTCACCGTAGATTTTTCTAATTTCTGAAAGTAGTGAATGTAACGGACACCACTAGTGGATTCTAATTTTAGCCCTTCAGCAAGATAAAACTGTCGAGCAAGCTACACTTCTATATTAATGAATATTATTTTTATATTGCGATCTACACTATATTGTTATAATATGCATTGTTAGTATTATTAAATGATTAAATTGAGTTTTGGAATTGTAATGAAATTCCAGAACATTAATCATAACTTAGATTTACAAAGAACAAAAAGTAATTAAGTTCCACCAATTACTCTTACTCGAAAAGATTCAAATTCCTGCAGAGCAGAGCTGCAATTATTTCAACAGATAATTACAAGTTCATGTGAAAAGTAATAATAAATTCGATTAATACTTTAACAGTACTCAAAACTAATTTTAATAATTAACTAGAATTAACTAGAGTTAATGATTCCGGAATATTAACTCTAGCTATTCCAGTAATCATTACATTACTCTTGAGTAATGAAATGCTCGGGTATTTACATTAACTTCGTTTACTCTGTTCGGATCACGAAAGATTTATTTATGTTAATTTAATATATATAAATTCCAGCTATCGCTTTTTGGATTAAAACTAGAACAATATCGGGCAAAAATACAACAAAACAATGGAAATGATGCATTGTAGTAATACTTTAATTAGAAAAGATAAGTTCTGCCAATTTATTACGAATCCTTCATTTCATTATTTAGACGCAAATTAGTTTGAAGCCCAGATTCTGTAAGAATAATTTCGGCAGTTCGTTTAATGGATTTGTTTTTAAAAATGCGAGTAAAAATCACGCAGAATAAATATGTCACTTTCACTTCAAACATAAAGAATAGAAAGTCATGAAGCTTGTTTTCCATTAATTAAGATAGTTCGGCAGTTTTGCTTTTTTTGAAAAATGACATCGAATGTTTGTGGAAGCATATTTTATCCAATTTGATAAATTATTCCAAATATATGACTTGCCTCGTGATCCAGTGGTAATCTCAGCATGTAGAAAGACTCGGGTTCGAATGCATTAGCGGTGTGCGTGCATTCACTGCTTTTCAGAAACTACCAATCTCAATGATTATTGTGGCAATCTATGGAAGCATTTAGCATGGACAGTCGGGATTTCTGATGGGAGTTTACTGTGTTTTTCCTAATACAACACGTAAATGCGAGACAACTACCATTCAAAGTACTTCAATACTGTATCCATCGACTCTTCGAGGCATACAGAAATGGAACATATGGTTTACCGACATATAAAAACATTTCTTGTGACATTTACATTTCTAAGTGTTGGTCCATAAACCAATGAAATTATTGAACAATTTATAAAGAGACCAACAAAAGTGACTAACTTTTATGACTTTTAGGTTTAGTGATGAACCAAAGACTTTTTTCACTTTTAGGTTTAGTGATGAACCAAAGCCTTTTTTGACTTTTAGGTTTAGTGATGAACCAAAGCCTTTTTTTGACTTTTAGGCACAGTGATGAAACAAAGAATTTTGACTTTTAGGTTTAGTGATGAACCAAAACCTTTTGAATTTTCAGTTTAGTGATGAACGTCAGATCTTTAGGTTTAGTGGTGAACCAAAGCGTTTTTAACTTTTAGGTTTAGTGATGAAACAAAGGCCTTTTCTTTAGGTTTAGTGATGAAACAAAGACTTTTTGGGATGATGTTAGCGACAGTTCCTGGTGCCACATGATTTGTAACTAGCCTCCAAGGGGAAACATCGTCTGGAGAGTTCACAACTTCATCTTTGAACATTATAGAAACTTTGTAGACTTTAGAGATTTATCATGTTCCTCTTCCATCGGAAACTTTCAGTTCAGTTCAGTTCACTTGCCGGATTTGGACTGAGCTTTCTTAGTTAAAATGTCCATTGCATTAAACACGAAGCCGTTCCAGGCTCACTTTTAAAATGTAAGCATGTTCTACTCTTAAAAGTACAACAAACATTAATTCATTAAAAATTGTGTATTATAAAACTAGCATAACTCCGTTGTATTTTGAAATGATAATTTACCACAACTTCAAAGCACATTTATGTTTGTTGTTGTTAAATGCCAGGTGTTTTGACCTGTGAAATTCATTGTTAGAACCACAGATTGGCCAATTCAGCGTTTCCCATGGTACATCACTATTACTACTACACTGTACCATCACAATTTAGAACAGACACTCACATTTCTTCAGTCCTCCACACTCCTCCTTTCTCTACTATAACCTCGTCTTTAAACCCAATGATTTGGTTTGTCGCTCTACGGTTATCTTGTGCACACTTTGACCTAATTAGACCGGGACCACAGTTTAACGTTGATTCCGAACCACTACTACTACTACACCACACCACACTACACCACATCACATCACATCACATCACTGTGCCTAGAGCCAAGTTGCACCTTTACAGTTTGGGAAAGATGTGGGTGAGATAGAAGTCTGACTGGGCTCTGTGGCGCTCTACGGTCATATGAGACAGGGACCTAAGGTTTAAAGTGGATTCCGAACCACTACAAACATCCATATCACCGTCGGGATTCGAACCCGATATGTGTGGTACCGAGCGCCAAAGCGGTGGAAAATCGGCCATCATGCCCCAAAAATTTTGAATGTCAACGGCACGTGGTGTTCCCAGGTGGACATCCTCCCAAGTAATGACCGCGCCCGATGATGCTTGACTTCGGTGATCGAAAGAGAACAGGTATACTCAGCATGGTATAGCTGTTGGCATTCCGAACAACTGACAAACATCCATGCCACAGACAAGATTCGAACCTGAAGCCTGTGGTATCAATGGCGAGAGCGCTAGCCAATTGGGCATAGGCCGCTCAAACCCAATGTAGCTACTTGGAAAAAAAACCGAACCGAGTTCTTCCAAATCTGAAACTCAACACGATATTATTCATAAATCACTTTCTGCTTCAAAACACAAAAAAAAATAATTTTAGATGCAACTGCTTTCAAATCGTAATACTGTTTAGTGAATAAATGATAAAGAAATTGCTTCACCATAAAACAATATGTGTTACCAGTATAAAGGGACACAGTGTACAAATAATTTGTAGTGTATAACAAATTAAAATTTTTAATGATTGTTTTTAAATTAATAGTTTATTTATAAATCAGTAACACAAAGTATTAAGTGGTTTAATAAATAATAGATATCACTGTTCTCAAATTTAAATGCAAAAATTAACGAAACTGCTTCATTCACCATGAAACCTTAAGTATAATCTTCTACTTATATAAACAGAAATCTTCAAGCTGTAATTAAATTCTAATATTAAATAGATTCATATATAAAATTAATTTATTCATAAATTCAAAAAAAAAAATAATAACAAAGTAGTTTTATTACATAACATAATATGTAACTATCTTTAAATTTACATAACAAATTATAATGCTGAAATCATTCTGTTACTTTAATCTTCAGAAAATTAAATTCATCAGAATTTCAAAACAATAAATTGCTGAATAATTAAAATCTTTTACATTTACTCAGAATATACTATAATATTTATATAATGTCTAACACTTATTATATAAACATATTAAATATGTAAATTGGTTCTCAGCAAAGGGAATTCATAACAATTTCAGTAAACGAATTTATAATGATTGTATAAATACTAATTGTTTAATACTATATAAATATATAACAATTCAAAATGTACTTAGTTTTATAGTTGAAACAATTAAATAATAGAAAAGATATATATACTAGTATAATTTTTAATATAAAATCGTGCATTTATATATTTAAATGTTATAATATATTGTAATTAAAAAGATTTTTCCAAAAATTGGTGGTTTAGTAAAATATAAGCAAACGAAGAAAAATTATTTAACTACTTAAATCCCACCTAGGCGATAAAAAATTTAAATTATTAAATGCAAGCATGTGATACTAGCAGGGCCGGATTTTCTTATAGGCTAACTAGGCTTCAGCCTAGGGCCTCAATATCAAGAGGGGCCTACAATTAATTGAAAATTCGTAATAATTCATACTTAAATTTCAAAAGCTAATTATTATGTAATAAATTTATCTGAATTGAATTTGCTTTAATTTTCAATGTAATAAATATATTTAATTTAATTTGATAGAAAATATGATAATTTTTATTACATGTTTTATTTTCGTAATCAAAGATTTTTATTATTTGAATTTTGTTTCTTTGTAAATGTTGTGTGTTATGTTGGATTAGTTATTGTTACAAGTTCTATATATGGTGCTGAGAATAAATGTCCAAACAAGTGTTCTCGACTTTTTTTTTATTTATTATCCATTTTTTATAAAGATTAGTACCAATAACAACATGTCTCATTTAACATATTGATATATATCACAGTAATTGTTTGTATTTTATTATCTCTCATGTAATTTACAAACTTAACAAGTAATAAAAAAAAAAATTTAGTCAATTCCTACATTTTTTTCACTATATTAAGGAAAGTCCTCTATAAATAATTTCCATTTAATTTTTAAATTTATTTGGCGCCCTCTATTGTAGACACATGCAACTTAAATCTAAAAAAAACTAAAATTAATTAATTAAATTTAATGAATTAATTAATATTTGAAAAAAAACTCTTATTAACATCCAGTGTCACCCACTACAAGTTAAAAAAATGTATTTGAACATGAATGGATGAATAAAAAGTATTTTATGAACGATTGAAAATTTGAACAAGATATATATATGGGAGAGTGTGAGCTAATAGAAGGAATTGAAAAAATGGGAGGTGAAAGGACCTCATAAGTGGAATAGCCTAGGGCTTCTTTTCATCTAAATCCTATAGTATACTAGTATGTTTTGGATTTAAATATTTTAACTTTTATAATTCGATCGTGACTAATTATGCTATAAATAAATTAGGGACGGAATAAAAAATAAATTTGACGCATGAGCTAAAAAAAACTAAAATTAATTCATTAAATTTAATGAATGAATTAATATTTGAAAAAACTGTATTAACATCCAGTGTCATCCACTACAAGTTAAAAAAAATGCATTTGAACTTGAGTGGAGGAATGAAAAGTATTTTTATGAACGATTGAAAATTTGAACAAGATATATATAGTCAGAGTGTGAGCTAATAGAAGGAATTGAATAAATAAAAATAATAATAAAATAAATATAAATTGATGAAAGATGTAACTTATTAAATGCAAGCATGTGATATGTTCCAGATTTAAAAAATAAATAAAAAATAATAATAAAATAAATATAAATATAAATCGATGAAAAATTTAATTTATTAAATGCAAGCATGTGATACTAGTATGTTTTGGATTTAAATATTTTAACTTTTATAATTCGATCGTGACTAATTATGCTATAAATAAATTAGGGGCGAAAAAAAAAATAAATTTGAGACATGAGGTTGTAATTTAACTTTATGCCTCGCTTTCCTAGAAACGGGAGAGAACAGCATTAATGCCGTTCTAATCGATGTTTCTATGGAAACTTTTACCCTACTTTGGGTTATCCAGATGAAGGGGGCAGAAGGGGGGACGAAAAAGATAAAAATGCATCCAAGTCTCGAAGCCAGGAGATGCACAATTGCAAATGGATCTCCTTTTAAAGAATTATTTAATACCCGGTTTTCTGTGCATGGCATGCATTTTTTACAATTACTTCTTAAATGAGATAAATTGAGAGAAAAAATATTGCTGACCTCGATGGTTTTGCAGTAGACAGAGTGTCTGATGGCAATTCAAATATTTTATATTGATAATGGACTTATTTAATGTTATGAAGAAAATGCCGCCCTTAAAAAAATTGGTTAATTGCAACTGATTAGTAGTTATATTATTATTAAATTAATTATTGTACTTAATTAATAATTTTATTAGTTAGGTTCCATTAATTAGTAATTTTATTTTTTGAATTCAATCAATCAATATTAATTGAATTCAATTTTTATTATTCAAATATTTTATATTTAATTAAGTCCTTTATCAATATAAAATATTTGAATTCAAATTATAAAAATTAAGAAAATGTAAGAAAAGTGAAATAAATAATGTATATATTAAAAAATGTTCCCCACAAAAAATTAATTAATTGCAATTGATTAGTAATTTTTTATTATTTGAATTCAAATATTTTATATTTAAATAAGTCCTGTATCAATATAAAAGATTTGAATTCAAATAATAAAAAATTAAGAAAATGTAATATATAATGTATATATATAGAAAATGTCCCCCAAAAAAAAAAAAATAAATTAATTAGTAATTTTTATTATTTGAATTCAATCTGATGATTCAATTTATTATTTGAATTTTATATTAATGAATGAGGGACTTATTTAATGTTGTAAAAAGAAAATAAATGTTGGCCTCAAAATATAGCTGGGTAATTGCAATTAATTTGTAATTTTTATTATTATTTATATATTGAATTCAAATATTTTATATTGATAAAGGACTTCTTTAAGGCTATTAAAAAAAGGTCGCCCTCAAAAAAAAAAAAAAAAAAAAAAAAAAAAACTGGTTAATTGCAATTAGTTAGTAGTTATTATTTTTATATCGAATTCAAATATTTTACATTGATAAATGACTTATTTAATGCTATTAAGAAATTGTTGCCCTCAAAAATATTGATTCATTGCAATTAATTAGTAGTTTTTATTATTATTATTATTTTTTTGAATATTGAGACCCACTACATTAAACATTTGGCTAAATCTGCCTAGTAGCGTAACTAAACATATACTGTAATTGCTTATAATCCATTTAATTCTAAAAGTAGAAATGTTTAAGGTAGGATAATAAAAAACGCAACATACCAATTTTAACCTCGAATAAACAATGTACGATAGAAATATATTCAAGTAGAAATGCATTCGTAAGAATAAGAACTTCCGCCTATGACAACAGTATTGTTCAATAAGCATAACTGAATGTCTGTTAATATATTTAAATTGCTTGGTAAGCAAACATTTTACGAATGCTTGTTTGGCTTATGATGTGCAGATTATTATTGAGGTTATAAGCATTATAACAATGATTAAATTTTTGAGTATGTATCGTGTATTAGTTATCGATCAACTTTGGATTAGTAATTATGTCTAATACATTATTTCATTACTTTCAACTGCCACTTCTGAATTTCAATATTTGAATCGCAGATGACAGCAACTCCAACTGATATTAATAGTACTGCAAACAGGTTGACTTAAAATATGGTAAATTCATCTTTAAAATATACATGTGACACACACACGTAACGTTTTTCTTTGGTTACAAAAATTATTTAGTACCAAATAGAATAAAATGTTGGGCACAATAAATATTTAAATAGCAATGACATCTTTTATAACAGGAACATAATTTGAAGGTTAAAAACAAAATCGTAACAGAAAAAGTTTTAAAATTACCAACAAAACATCTTACAGAAAATTGAGTTTAGACGTAACTTCCCATTTTAAGATGCATTTTTATATCTCATTTAATTTCAGTATGTTATTCAGCCTCGTTATAGATGGGTAGCATGGATATAATGAATCGTAGTTTTTATAATTATTCAACCCTATTCATTTGGCGATTTTTGTTCATAATTGAAAACTTCTTTATTTCTTGTCATATTGCACATTACAATACTTTTCTGAGTCATTAGATTGGATACGTGAAAAAATTTTCTTGATTCTTCTCATATTTAACAGAAATTCCCTTCAATACAGGGATACACAAACTTTGCAACTGAGACTGTGGA